GATAAATCCAGCCAAGTAAAAGAGTGTTTTTCTGAGTGGTTGCCTGCTGTGTTTGTTGGACATTTAAGGCTCAATGTATTCACTTGAATATAGACTGTTTTTGTATCCTTACCTGGTGTAAAGTGTAAAAAAACAGGACAAAAGGACATTTTTCATCATTGCTGTCTTTCCAAAAAGGTTATCAGATTCTTCTTTCGATTTCTTCCTATGATTGCTCAAAGCAGTGGGGTAAGCACTGGAATTGATCAAATTCAGTACAGCTCTCCTATTCACGTTTCTGGTTGTTGCATCTATCTCCAACTGCTCCTTCCAGGGCTTTTTCTTTTATAACATCCCTCACCTTTTCTGGTGCTTGTAGGCCTTGTAGTTTTGACTTCAGCTTTATTCTATGTCCTGAAGTCCTCCTTCAAGACTACATCTCCCAGAATGCTCTGTTACTTGTATCAGGGCTGTGACAGGGCGAAGTGCTGTCTATTTGTGGGCAAATAGAGTTTTGTGTCTTCAGTAACAATGCCCAGTGCTATGGTAGCTTCCTAGTTTTTCTCAGTGCAGGTTTTTTGAATGTTTCTTTCTCTCTCTTTGCACAGTACATGAGCAAAAATGTGTGTTTAGGCACATAAGTACATGCAGTAAGGTGTATCAAAAGCATGAGTTAACATTGTTTGTTATTTGTGGAATGTCGTCATTGTATTATCTTTACATTTTATCTCTGCTCTGGAGTTCCTTACAATAAAGAATATCATTTAAAAAAAGGGTGTGTTACTGCATGCACTTGAGTGTGATAGGGTCCTTAAAAACAAAATGCTCATATTTGACTGGTATGCTTCTTTAAAATGTTACCCAGGACCCTGCATTCACTATATCTGGTCTCCTACAGTACACGGAACATGGAAATGCATTTATTTTAGTAAATATTAACTGCTAAATACCTTTTCTCAGCAGCAGTTAGAGCAGTCTTGTGACTTCTATCAGTGTTCAGCAGCGCATGGGTTAAAGCATGTGGGAGGAGTTTTCTTTCTGCTCTAGGAGGATGCAGGACCCCTGTGTTGATCACATGCACCCTCCCAAGAAAAAAAAAAACCTTTCTAGCCAGGGGCGGGCTGACAACTCATGGGGCCCCCGGGCAATAGGGGATCATCTGGCCCCTGTGTCCTTGCCCAAACTCAAAAAAGCCTATGAAAAAGGTACCAGGGGCATCTCATGGGGCCCCCTACTGACCCAGTGCTCAAGTTTCTAAATGGTCAGTCCGCCCCTGTTTCTAGCAATACAGACCAAACTGAGCATGTGCAGAATGGCTACAGTTCAGTCTGTCTTATCAGGAGATAAGACGAGGACATTTGAACAAGAGAAGGATCAGAGAAATCAGGAACAGCATTTTTACACAATGCAGAGAATTAACCCCTTAGGTTTCGCAGTGAGTATAACAAGCCGGCTTATCTGCATACACAGACCTATTTTACTGTTGTGGGTTTAGTGACACTTTAAGTAAAGTGTGCTATTTATCTTCCATTCTTTTTTCCCATTAGACTACATAAATGGTTCTTACATTATGTATGGAGAAAGGATAGATAAATGTTGCCACTGCCCCCTTCCCCCATTTTCTTCGTATGTCATGCTGCTGACACGCTACTTAAAACTTTGGCATATTGGTAAAAGAAATATCTTTTTATCTGTGGAATAGTACTTTAAGATGACTGAAAATGGCAGAAGAGAAGCACCATCCCTATTCATCTTCCTGCCTATTACTTTTATATTTGAAAACAGGATGACCTCATGTCTGTGTTGGAGGCTCTTTAATTCTGTTACTGTCATAGCTGCTGGAATGCTAACCAATTATGCCTGCAGCTTCTTATCCAAACTGCATTTTTTATGTTGGTTTCTGCTCTTTAACCATGTGCTTTTCATTTGTTGTTTTAGGTGTTTTGCAGTGATTTTATACTTCTCGTTCAAAAATGAATGGGCAAAGTAAAGATCAGGCTGCTACCATTATGAGGACTATGACAGTCTTGGCAGCCTTTAGCACTACTGATCTTCTAGTCATTTTAAACTGTGTCTGTCTGTCTTCAGGATGAAGACAGTGGGGTGGATCTGTGTCTGGCTGGTTCATAGTGAAAGATGTCTAAAGTGAAGTCTGAGGCAAACTCCACCCATTTCTGTTCAGCTTGTAGACACTTACAGGATCAGCAGCCATAAGTGAAGGCAAAACCATTTTTTACTTTTTTAGATAAAGTGGAGAGGGATAAGAACAGTGGTGTATTTTGATTTTGTGCTGCGCTAGACAAGATTAACATTGGCACCCCCCCCATCTAAATGTGTCCCACCTCTTCCTGTTTAAGATCCACCCCTTAATCTGTAAACTCCACCCCTTCCTCTTTAGGCTCGGCCTCAGGAGTTGGTCAGAAACTGCAAGCCTTGTACAGGAGATGGTCAGACTGCAGACAAAGTACAGCAGATTGTCAGAGACTGCAGACCTACTACAGGAGATGGTCAGAAACTGAAGACATACTACAGGAGATGGTCAAAGTCAGCAGACATACTACAGGGGACGGTCAGAGACTGCAGACATACTACAGGAGGCGGTCACAGACTGTGGACAGGACACAGGAGATGGTCAGAGACTGACTGCAGACATACTACAGGAGATGGTTAGAGACTGCAGACATACTACAGGAGATGGTCAGAGACAGTGAACATATAACGACATACTACAGAGATGGTCAGAGACTGTGGACATACTACGGGAGATGGTCGGAGACTGCGGACATACTACGGGAGATGGTCGGAGACTGCGGACATACTACGGGAGATGGTCGGAGTCTGCAGACATACTACGGGAGATGGTCAGAGACTGCAGACATACACAGGAGAAGGTCAGAAACTGTGGACAGGATACAGGAGTCTGCGGACAGGACACGGGAGTCTGCGGACAGGACACGGGAGTCTGCGGACAGGACACGGGAGTCTGCGGACAGGACACGGGAGTCTGCGGACAGGACACGGGAGTCTGCGGACAGGACACGGGAGTCTGCGGACAGGACACGGGAGTCTGCGGACAGGACACGGGAGTCTGCGGACAGGACACGGGAGACTGCGGACAGGACACGGGAGACTGCGGACAGGACACGGGAGACTGCGGACAGGACACGGGAGACTGCGGACAGGACACGGGAGACTGCGGACAGGACACGGGAGACTGCGGACAGGACACGGGAGACTAGGGACAGGATACAGGAACAGTAGACAGGATACAGGAGATGGTCAGCTGAGCCCAACCAAACACTGCTGAGCCTACCTTCCTTGCCCGAGCAGTGCAGAGCCTGCCGCCCCCCCGCCCGAGCACTGCAGAGCCTGCCGCCCCCGCCCGAGCACTGCCAAGGAGCCTTCCCTGCTTCCCTGCTTGAGCACTGCCATGCCCATCTCCCCCTGTCCGAGAACTGCCGAGCCGGCTTTCCCTGCTTGAGAACTGCCGAGCCCGTACCCCTGCCTAAACTCTGCCTGCAGTCCTAGCTCTGCCTCCTGCCTGAGCCCTGACAAGCCCTGCTGAGCTCTCCCGCCCTGCCAAGCCCTGGTCCATTGTTCCTTCTGCCTGAGGGCAGTGCTGCCCCACTGCAAAATGCCGCCCAAGGCAAATGCCTTGCTTTCCTCATGACAGATACGCCCCTGGATAAGAATACCTATCACTTTTTTTGTTTTTTGGTGCTGCATGTGTCCCCCCCATGTCACTATTTCTATTTGCCCTAGTGAATGTTATTACTGAGTGATAATTGAAAGTGAAAGAAAATGCCAAATGTTGGTGCTCAAAAGAACAAGAATAGAGGGAGAATCTTCCAATAGGGAAACAAGTTCTATTCTGACATGTTTTGTGCTAGGCACAGCACCCTCTCAAAGTTTATGAGAAAGCACTGTGCCTAGCGTGAAACATGTCAGAGTAGAAGTATTTACTGCTGGCTCTTCTAAAAAAGAAAGAATGTTATTTTGTAGCAGAGGAATGTTAATGTGTGGAATTCCTGTTACTGGTACAGTCGATTTTGTTGAGCAGAGACAACCACACACACAGATCACAATTCAGCCAGTCCCTGCTGAACCGGCCGAATCTGGTCAGTACATGGCCAGCTTTAGAAAAAAAATGTGCTGTCTGGCAGGCTGCCATAGCTGACCTCTGCTTCCAAAATCACAATTACCTGGCTATCGTGATAATCCACTGGTTTCTGGAGTCACTGACCCTGAACAACTGTGCAATTTAAGAGATTTGATTTCCTTATTGAGATAATCTCTGGTTACGTGGCACTCTGGTGGGAACATGCGGAACAACAGGTGATGTACAAAAGTGGCCCCAAAGTGTCTTTCTGCAGGGAACCTCTGTTGCTTTATGGAGGAAGGGTAAGGTATTAAGCATGTGTCTCTGTATGTGAGTCAGTGCAAACAAGGTAAATAGCAGTCACTTTATAATTTAGACTGCATATTTGTACAGACATGCAACTATATGCTTTTATTTTGCCAAAAATATTGTTCTTCATAATTGTTGAGTTTTACAGTTAAATTGAACAGTATATTAAAGTGTTACTAAACCTACAACAGTAAAATCAGTCTGTGTATGCAGTAAAGCATGCATGCTTGTTATACTCACTGTTGCTATACTCACTGTGGTACCTAAGGGGTTAATCCTCTGCATTGTATAAAAATGCTGTTTGATCCTGACTCCTCCCCTTCTTCCAGTGCCCCCCTGTTATCTCCTGATAAGACATCATATCGTGTGGAGACACTGCATCTGCTCAAATTGGTGTGTATTGCTAGAGAGGTTTTTTTTTTCTTGGGAGAGTACATGTGATCAGCACAGGGCCAATCAGCATCTCCTAGAGCTGAAAGAAAACTCCTCCTTCAAGCTTTGACCAGTGCTCTGCTGGACACTGATAGAAGTCACAAAACTGCTCTAACTGCTGATGAGAAAAGGTATTTAGCAGTTTATATTTTACTAAAATAATTGCATTTTCATGTTGTGTGTACTGTGGGAGAGCAGATAGAGTGGATGCAGGGTCCGGGGAGACCAGATAGAGTGGATGCAGGGTTCGGGGAGACCAGATAGAATGGATGCAGGGTCCGGGGAGATCAGATAGAGTGGATGCAGGGTTCGGGAAGACCAGATAGAGTGGATACAGGGTCCGGGGAGACCAGATAGAGTGGATACAGGGTCCGTGGAGACCAGATATAGTGAATGCAGGGTCCGGGGAGACTGGATATAGTGAGTGCAGGGTCCGGGGAGACTGAATATAGTGAATGCAGGGTCCAGGGAGAGCGGATATAGTGAGTGCAGGGTCCGGGGAGACCAGATAGAGTGGATGCAGGGTCCGGGGAGACCAGATAGAGTGGATGCAGGGTCCGGGGAGACCAGATAGAGTGGATGCAGGGTCCGGGGAGACCAGATAGAGTGGATGCAGGGTCCGGGGAGACCAGATAGAGTGGATGCAGGGTCCGGGGAGACCAGATAGAGTGGATGCAGGGTCCGTGGAGACCGGATATAGTGAATGCAGGGTCCGGGAGAGCGGATATAGTGAGTGCAGGGTCCGGGGAGACTGGATATAGTGAATGCAGGGTCCGGGGGAGACCAGATAGAGTGGATGCAGGGTCCGGGGAGATCAGATAGAGTGGATGCAGGGTCCGGGGAGACCAGATAGAGTGGATGCAGGGTCCTGGATTTAGTAACACTTTAACTCAGGATTTGGAATTGAGCTGTACAGAGCTATTCAGTAAATACAGTTCCAAGGACATAACACTTGAGCTACGCTTACTCTGAAACTGGGGCAAGTTTGATGTCTGTTTATGGGTCCTAGTTATATTTTAAGCTCAGGTTTAGCCAAAGCAGTAGTGTAATAACAGCATGTTGATAAAATATAAGACAGTTTAATAATACAATTAATAATCTATTTTTGTCAAGGTATAATTTAATTTGCACGTTGTCTTTTTTATGGTAGTGACATTGAACATTATCCCAAAGGAGCTCACATTGTTATGATTGATGTCTTTGTTTGACATCCAAATCCCAGTTCAAAGAACAGAATTCTAAGCTTTTGCCAGACCACTGCTTCAGCACATCTAAAAATAACACAAACATCAAAACTGAGTGAATAAATGACATTTCAGAGGTGATGGGATGAGTTAAAAGTCAGCTCTGGTGTGCCACACAAACAGAGCATATTCCAGAGGTCAGTGGAGTAGGTCTATATCTGAAACCCGTTTCCAATTTCCACAAAGTAGCACTTGTTTCAGGTTCACCATTGGGAATGAGAGGAGGAGAGCAGCAATCGATGCAGCTTCTCGTATATTCTAAAAAATCAATGTTTAATGTAGGAACGCAGGCTGCAATCTCATTATGGATGCACCTATAAGTGGGGGTGGTTCAGCTGGGGTGGTGGCTGTGTCCTGGTACTCATAGAGATGGCAGGGTTGTGATTGATCTTTTGCCGACCTCAGCAAACTGCACCTGTTAACTTGCACACTGCACTTGCTTCTTTTTTTTTTTTCCAAGTGGGATCAAATCGGTTATTTAAATCCTGCAGGCAACAGAAAAATGTCTGAATGTGTCCATTAGTGTAAAAGTGGTCATGCCGGGTTGATTAACGGCAATCATTTAATTCCCATATCAAGTGCATGGTTGCTCTCCACATGGAAATCTCTACTGATATCTGAAGTATGCTCAGGCTAGAGTAGTAAAAGTATACGCACGGGTTAAGGAGGCCTGACTGAAATATAAAAACATCACATTATGCAGCCATGTTTTGCCAATATAATTTTATTTCTGTGCTCAAAGAAATTCTGCATCCAACTGCTGCTGCCTCTTGTCTGACAGTCAGAGTTCATACTGACTGCCTTCACTAAATCACCCTGCCTGGCTTTTGTCTGCAGCCTTTAAGCCGTAAAGAGATGGAACGCTGGACAGATATCAAATTTATGTTTGAAAATAAATAATTATCCATCTGACACTCTATAGCATTTTACTACCTATATTCAGTGCCTGCTGCATGTTCTGTAAATGCTTACATACTTTTTTCTTTTATATACTGTGTTCTAGAGCTCCATAATGTTGCTGCTATGCACTGGATCCTGCTGTAGGTGCTCTTCTTGGCACGTAAAACATTTTGTTAAAGCGGAGCTCCACCCGAAAGAGGAAGTTCCGCTTTAAGGACTGCTCCCCCACTCCCCATTAGGGATTGGCACCTTTGGTGGACGGGGGGGGGTACCTGAATTGCCGCTCCCACGTCAGATCGCCTAGGCGGTTGGAAACGGAAGGTGTCCTCCCTCCCTCCCTGTAGTCTTTTGGGACACATGACAGGTCCCAGAACACTACAGGACCATTCATGAAGCGCAACGCTACTCGTGCATGCGCAGTGGGTACCCGGCTATGAAGCCGCAAGCTTTCACAGCCGGGTACCCACACTGTGCAAAGGTGTATTTGCTTTGGAAGATATAAATCACCTCTAACGTTGGGTATCCTATGCGTGTGCATGTTGCTGTTTTATGTAAAACTAGTTTTTTACATTTCAGAATGAGGCGCCTTGAGATTGTGCATAATGTTAAAGGGTGCCCTGACTAAAAAGTTGTTGAGAAACACTGTTTCAGTAAATATAAACTGCTAAATACCTTTTCTCATCAGCAGTTAGAGCAGTCTTATGACTTCTCTCAGTGTCCAGCAGAGCACTGGTTTAAACTTGTAGGAGGGGTTTTCATTATGCTCTGACTGTCCTATGAGGTTGAACAATCCTAACTCTCTGTCTGGAGAGTGCTCATTGGCCCCGTGTTGATCACATTCACCTTCCCAAAGAAAAAAAACTCTCTAGCAATACACACCAAACTGAGCATGTGCAGAGTGACTCCTAGGGCTCTGTGCTATCAGCAGATGGATTGGGGACAGTAAAAGAAGGGAAGGATCAGAGAAGACAGGATCAAACACCCTTTTTACACAATGCTGAGAATTAACCCCTTAGGTTCCACAGTGAGTATAAAAAGCATGCTTTGCTGCATAAACAGACTGATTATACGGTTGTGGGTTTAGTAACACTTTAAGCCTGGTACACATGGGCTGAAAATTGGCAAGTTCAGCAGGAACTAGATGAATTTCAGTCCGTGTTTACAGCTGTCTGTTCTACACTAGCCAGTTTAACAACCGCCTTCTGTCAAACGAGCCAATGGGTGTGAGCGCTGATCAGTGTATTCTGGCATGGGGGGTTAATAGTCCTTCTGTCAGAATAACATGTCTACGTGGGACATATCTTTTGTTAATGCAGCAATCTGTCAGTTTTTAGTTTGCTGAACCCGAATGTGTGCACCCAGCTTTACTGTCACTCAGGAGCCAGGAAGCGGTTTCATCTACTGGCTTTTTGACTGCATATTTATGTTGCATTTGATATTATGATTATTATACAGGATTTATATAGTGCCAACAGTTTGCTCAGCACTTTACAAAATAAAGGGAGACAATACAGCAACAATACAGTTCAATACAAGAGGGTTAGGAGGGCTCTGCTCCTTGGAGCTTATAATCTAAGAGAAAATCACCTGAAACCCATCCTGATGACGGTGTTTCACCCCGATCAGATGGGATCCACCACTGGTCCAGAGCCAGAGACTACTATAAAAGGGCCAAGCAGATTTTTCATTGGCCACGACTGTGCATATATACAGTGGGGCAAAAAAGTATTTAGTCAGCCACCAATTGTGCAAGTTCTCCCACTTAAAAAAATGAGAGAGGCCTGTAATTGGCATCATAGGTAGACCTCAACTATGGGAGACAAAATGAGAAAAAAAATCCAGACAATCACATTGGCTGATTTGGAAAGAATTTATTTGCAAATTATGGTGGAAAATAAGTATTTCGTCACCTACAAACAAGCAAGATTTCTGGCTCTCACAGACCTGTACCTTCTTCTTTAAGAGGCTCCTCTGTCCTGCACTCATTACCTGTATCAATGGCACCTGTTTGAACTTGTTATCAGTATAAAAGACACCTGTCCACAACCTCAAACAGTCACACTCCAAACTCCACTATGGTGAAGACCAAAGAGCTGTCGAAGGACACCAGAAACAAAATTGTAGACCTGCACCAGGCTGGGAAGACTGAATCTGCAATAGGCAAGCAGCTTGGTGTGAACAAATCAACTGTGGGAGCAATAATTAGAAAATGGAAGACATACAAGACCACTGATAATCTCTCTCGATCTGGGGCTCCACGCAAGATCTCACCCGGTGGGGTCAAAATGATCACAAGAACGGTGAGCAAAAATCCAAGGATCACACGGGGGGACCTAGTGAATGACCTGCAGAGAGCTGGGACCAACGTAACAAAGGCTACCATCAGTAACGCACTACGCCGCCAGGGACTCAGATCCTGCAGTGCCAGACGTGTCCCCCTGCTTAAGCCAGTACATGTCCAGGCCCATCTGAAGTTTGCTAAAGAGCATTTGGATTATGCAGAAGAGGACTGGGAGAATGTCTTATGGTCAGATGAAATCAAAATGGAACTGTTTGGTAGAAACACAACTCGTCGTGTTTGGAGGAGAGAGAATGCCGAGTTGCATCCAAAGAACACCATACCTACTGTGAAGCATGGGGGTGGCAATATCATGCTTTGGGGCTGTTTCTTCGCAAAGGGACCAGGACGACTGATCCATGTACAGGACAGAATGAATGGGGCCATGTATCGTGAGATTTTGAGTGCAAACCTCCTTCCATCAGCAAGGGCATTGAAGATGAAACGTGGTTGGGTCTTCAACATGACAATGATCCCAAACATACCGCCCGGGCAACGGAGTGGCCTTTTTCAAGGTCCTGGAGTGGCCTAGCCAGTCTCCAGATCCCAGAGTCTTCCAACCCCATAGAAAACCTTTGGAGGGAGTTGAAAGTCCGTGTTGCCCAGCGACAGCCCCAAAACATCACTGCTCTAGAGGAGATCTGCATGGAGAAATGGGCCAACATACCAGCAACAGTGTGTGCCAACCTAGTGAAGACTTACAGGAAACGTTTGACCTCTGTCATTGCCAACAAAGGATATATAACAAAGTATTGAGATAAACTTTTGATATTGACCAAATACTTATTTTCCACCATAATTTGCAAATAAATTCTTTCCAAATCAGCCAATGTGATTGTCTGGATTTTTGTTCTCATTTTGTCTCTCATAATTGAGGTCTACCTATGATGCCAATTACAGGCTTCTCTTGTCTTTTTAAGTGGGAGAACTTGCACAATTGGTGGCTGACTAAATACTTTTTTTTGCCCCACTGTATATATATATGTATACACAGTATATGTGTACTGATTTCCTCAAACTGTTTGTCTTGGAGACAGACTTCAAGTTTCTTTGAGTTTGAGAAGATGCTTCTCGAACAAATGTTGCTGGATACAATGGTAAAATAGATACCATTGTTGTATTTCAGTTGCCAGTTGACTATTGTTCTGATTGTTCTGTAGCCATGGTTACCAATAGCTTGACCTTCTAACATATATGACCTATGGCATGTATGATACAACAGTCCCATCTTGAGG